CTATTCAAGAAGATTGATCACCTGATTCCTTTCTTCGGCTGGTGACTTGCTTATTCTGAGAGGATAGACTCTGGCCTCACTTTCATAACCAAACACGTTTACCGCGATATTTTCGTTCTGTTTTTCAAACTTTTTTATCTTGTCAAGCTCAACCGGGAAGTTGATTCCTCTCCAGTTGAGTTGATCAGATTGTTCTTTAAGAATCTTTGTTATTCTTTGAGGGTTTTTCTCAACTGGATAAAGCACTCTTGTAATACACCATTTAAAACATTCATTATCTTGGTTTTCCGTATTGATTATTGCTTTTTTTCCTTTAAGCTCTTTTGGAAGTTTGATGTAAGAGCTACCATTCAAAGGGTTGTACTCTACAAGATGCAGGTCAAGTGAAATGTCTCTGTGAGACAGTCTCTATGTCCCAGTTACTTCTGTTATTGTTGAATTCTTCGATTCTTTCTTGAATAGTTTGCATAAATCTTTCATACACTTTGCTTTCATTAGTTGCATTAAGATTTTCAATTGTGTTGGTGTGGAAATAAGCATCAAGATACTGAACCTCTCCATCTGTAGCTCGCCTCTTCATCTTGCAAGAAAGAATCATCTTGAGTCTTGTCTGGCGGTTCTCTCTCATGATTTTCAAGACTGCCGGTTTTGCCTCCTGCGTGAATTGATTTGGCCCAAAACCCTCAACTGCATTTATTCTGAACTGCCTTGTGAAACCTCTCAATGCAGATGCTGACTCGTGGGCGCACCAGCATCCACTGTCTAGACTTGTAAATGGATTATTTTCGTAGTTTTCAACAAACTCATTCCATTCATCTAAAAAATCTGAAGTTGTTGAGTGTAAGAGACTGCGTCTCGATCCAAGCATCTCTTCAATTTCTCTTATTTCTCTTCAAGTGTTTGAAAGTGTGGATGCCTTGGATCAACTTTCTGGAAAGATTGAAGCGTGATATTGATGTTTCACAAAAGCGGATTACTATTCTATCAGAATGGTTTGGTGCCTGCTTTTAAAAGCAATGCTAAGGATCTTTTAGATGACACTGAATACAACAGGATAGAAGAAGCTTGTGGCTATTCAAAGGGCTATTGCACTTATTTGATTTGTTTCCACAAACTTTGTCAATCTTACCCAAAGATCAAACGTTTGTCTGAGCCAATACGTACATTTTTGTCCAACAAGATCGTACAAGAGATGTGGGAAGAAAATCATGATTTCTGGAGTGCTCCTTAAACACGCTTTTTTCATGTGATTGCTTTATGAAGCTGATGTTTTAGAGTTTTCTGTTGTGTTGGGAGGCTTGAATTTTAGTCCCGTACAGACTAAAGTGTTTTTAATTGATGAATATTAATTGATTATTGGGAAACGCGTTTCCTAATAATTATAAGTCAAATAATATATTGGGAAACGCATTTCTTAATATAAGTCAAATAATATATATTGGGAAATGCGCTTCCTAATAAGAGTCAAATAATATATTTGGAAACGCATTTACTAATATAAGTCAAGTAATATATTGGGAATTAAACACATTTCCTCCAAATGTTAATTCATGATTTTTGTCTTGAAATAGGCAAAGAAAGCCCACTCGGTCTTTTGTTGAATTCGATTCTCAACTCTTTTTGAGTGTTAGTAGAGAGCCTAATTTTTTTGGATATTCCTTTTTTATCTCCTCTCTGAGAGTTGCAGTCTCTTCCTCAACCTTCTCTGGAGAATTTCGTGAATTATTTTTTCTGAGTTCTTTTTTCAATGAATGATATTTTGATCAATTTCATTCAATGTCAAAGCGAATTCAGCATCTGATATCGAAGAGTCTTTCAAGGCCTCTGACACGAGTCTGCTGATTGTTCGTTGTTTCGCTTCAGCGAGAGAGACGGTTTTTTCATGTTTCTCAGTCTTTTTCACGAGAGATTTGTTTGCGAAAGCAAGCAAACCCGCATTGCTTGTCAAAGGCACAAATTATAATTCCCACACTGCTCAAAGCACCTGCGAAACCACCTATCAACAAAAGAGCTGCCGTGATGGATGTGACTGATGATGTTATGCGGCACACAGCTTTTACTCTCTCGTATTTTTTTGCGACTTGTTGGTGATGTGAAATCTCATTTTTAATTTCCTTCTGGCAATCACAAATCTTTTTCAACCTGAAATCAGTGCCTGAATTTGGGAGGAAAGGATAAAGTGGTGGTGCACTTGGTAAAATATTTTCAGCAGACATTTTTAATAATTAGATTATTTCAAACTCAAATCTCATTGGCATTCCATTGAAATCAATTATTTTGTCATTTTCATCGGTCACAGAAATCTTCATTGATGTGATATCATTCCTTTGAGATATTTTTCGATGTGATGGGGTTTCAGAAAAATAGTTCACCCTCTTAAAGGGTTCTCCTGCAATGTCAAAACATGCAAGAACTTGTAACGGCTTTCCATTGAAAAGGTTTTCATTCTCATCCAAAAGATCACAGCAGACAAGACAGTAGTTAAATGATGAAAAAGTTTTGACAAAGTTGGTTTTTTGCAAATGCTGTTTAATTCCAAGAAGATCAGCCAGATCATTATCAAGAAGAATCTTTTTGTTTTGAGGATTTTTAATTTCCAAACTTGCCCTTGAAGCATTCAGTCGAACATTGACTCCTTCGTTTTTCAATCTATCTTCAAAAGCTTCACCAAGGCTTTTCAGTGAATAATTTCCTTCAGGAATTGTCTTTACAGATGAATTGTCCTGAGCATCAAATACAGAGATTTCTCCAGAGCGACTCAAGTTGTGCCAGGAGTTGTAAAGAGAACAGCTCACCAGCCTGATATGCTTGCCAAGATTCAAAAGTGGTTCTTTGAAGAGAACTGTGAAATCATTTGAAACTTCAATAATTGTCAACAAGACCATTTTGATTTAAAAAAACAAATTAAAATGATCATTGTGTGGTTAAGATCAGACGAAGCAAAAAGAATTGCTGAGAAAAAAAAGAACAAAAGCCTGGAATGATTTCCAAGCACAATATCCAAATGCAGACTTGAGCAAGTTTAATGTGCAGGTAACATTCTTTAGCAAAAAGGAGGGAAAAGCAGAAGTTTACTTAAATTGAGCTGATGGTGTTCAAACTAGCGTCTCAGGATCAATCAGAAAAGACTGGGATGATGAAATGAAGCGCGCACTTGGAATAGCAGGGTTTCCCATCCAGCTCACTTTGAATCCTTCTGCAATTAAGGAGGTTCCAGCCGTTCTATTTCACGAAAATGCGAAAAGTCGCTTGAATGAAGATAAAGATATTTGTCACCCCAAATCAATATTTTCAAGCAAAATTCAGAGAAATATTCACAAGAATGAAAATTCAGCACAGCTCAGGCGCAGAATCAAAGAGGTGGCTAGCAGGGCTGAATTATGTTCTAACAGAGGATCAGTATCACCAAAATGTGCCATTTTTAAAATATCTTTTATAAAAAGTGGAAGTCAGTGAAAGAATTGGCCGGAGTTTTGAAAAAAAGATGTCAAACGCTCTCAAGGCAGACTGTGTGATTCACAGAGTAACATTCAACCCGAATAGTGCTTCTCCTGGTAAAGTCCTTAGGGTTCCAGTTCCAAAGCTTGATAATGGGGTAGTACTTGTGCCTGGATCACTTGCACTCGTATTCAACTTGGAAGTCGCTGGGCATGCAAACAATTTCCTCGTGAACAATGTAGCAAGAGCTCTTGTTGATCGACTGACTTTGAAGTTTGCAGGAGAAATTGTGCAAGACACTGATGGTTATGATTTATTCAAGCTTTGGGAGGACCTCTTCTTGACTGAGAATGAGAGGGCAAACATGTTCAGAGAAGGTATTCAGTCTGAAGATCTTTCGAAAATCAGATGCAGCGCTGGAGATAAGAAGACTTCGGGCGTTGATAAAGAAAATAAGCTCAATGAAGTTTATGGGAAAATGTACAGGATTTCATTGGATCATGATATTTTGAAAGATCATNGCTTCATGCTACATGGAAACCACGATAAACTCTGGCCAAGGAGGAGAGGGGCACTTGCTTTGAGTAACACACTTTGCCAAGCGTGTTTTTCACATGGGGGGGGCTAGAACTAATTGAAAAGTTTGAGAGAGCACTGTGTTAAAGGAATGATGTTTGGGGGGGGCCTTTAAAATGCAGATGTACATTTTTTATTGGGGGGATTTTAGGTGGAAAGAAGAGGAGAGGTGACTTCTTGATGTCATTTAATCATTTAGGAGTAAATATTGCTTTTTGTAAATGGATTTTCAACAACTAATTAAAGTTGCCAATTTATGCTTGATAAATTGTTTTGACTCACAGTGTACATGTATTTTGTTCTTTCTGCTGCAAGGTTCTTCAACTTAGTGTTATTACCAAGAGTGAGAGACGATATAACAGAGTACAAACGACTCAACTATCATTTGTACATGGTAAGAACATCTAAAAGCACATTTCAATCTGTTAACTTTTGACAGATTGTCAATCAAGCCTTCTCTTTTATCTTTTGCAGGCTTTAAAGAAGGCTTTATTCAAACCTGCTGCTTTCTTCAAAGGAATTTTATTACCCCTGTGTGAGGTGAAATGAGTGATCTTCTGTACCGTGTTTCGTGTAAATTTTGTGAATTTTGCGGGTAGCCTTTGATCTGCACAAAATTAGGGCGGCCTTGGGGGAAAAAAAAACATCAACAACAATCCTATAATTCATCAAACCGCCTCCCGGTTAGCTCAATGGATAGGGGGGGGGACAGTAGTGCGGGAGGTCGAGGGTTCGAGCTCCGGCCGGACCAACACTCAAGGGGGGGGGATAATTGAGAAGAATTTGCTACCTTTCTATAACATCAAGAAATGGTTAGATAGGGGGGGGTTCTCGTGGGCAGCAACATTTTGTTA